CACCCCCCTTCTTTTAAAGGCAGTTCACTGTTGACAGTTCTTTCACTCTTCCCTCAATATCAGAACATATGATCACATCAAGCTGGCTTCAGGCTCTGGTGCTGACATTTCCTAATGCCCACATCACGCGAACATTTGATAAGTGTTAATGAGCAGATCAAAGGGACTGTTGCCTGAAGCAACTAACTTTTTTTTTTTTTTTTTGGAAGAAATCGGCTTTCCTCCAAGCTCAAGTCTTCCTTCTTTGCAACTAAATAAAAGAGATGCAGACTTGCCTGGTGACAATGACGATAAAACAAAACAAAACAGAATTAGGAAGTAATCCATCTCTACATGTGGGTGACAAGACAGCAACCTTATCCAGAGTCTTTGTTACTTATCCAATCTGAATCAAGTTCAGGGAAAGTGAATTTAGCAATATTACAATACTCAGTAACTTCAGCTTCATGCTACATTTGCATTGTTTCCTGCCAAAACTGCATGGGTTCTTTGCATTTCCTTTTTTATTGAAATAGCTTTCCACTCATTTCACTTGAAATATCAGACAGGACTGAGAATATTCTTTGTGTGTGTGTGAATGTGTGCGAGGAGCCTGTGGAAACATAAGGATGCAGGCATTTACATTCCACTTCTGTCAGCAGGGTGAGTATCTGCTACTCAGAGCAGATTATTTTCTCACACCACTGTCACATTTAAAACAAGTTTCATTTTCTGAAGCTATTAGAAATAGCAGCTAATTAATTTATTGGTTAGTTTCAAATCAGGTCTACCCTATAACTTTAGGGAATGTAGCAGCTGCCGTAGGATTCAATCCTTTGCTCAGGGAGTCAAACAGAAACTGTCATTGACTCATGACTTTTGAAGTCCAATGAGGTCAACAAATAGAGTTTGTATTGATTCATTGGAGAAGAAATTTTGATTCCATCAGAACCAATGGGTGAAGGGCCCAAATGAACTGTAGCATGTGCCACAAAGAAGGTTCCTATGTGAAGCTGTCTTTGCTCAGGAGAGATTGCAGAACTTAAGAATCTTATAGCTGTAGAAAGTGGGGTGATAATACTGTTTAACATGTATTTATATATCTACTGTTTAACATATATCTATCTGCAACTAGCTTGGCCTTTTTGTCCTGGACACTGGCTGTCACGGCAAGAAAACTGGTGTTTTGGGGGTAATGGTTAGAAAGAGGCAAAAGAGAAAGAAAAATGACAATTAAATAAAGAAGAGAACGTGAACATGTACACTGAAAGTAGCATTTTACTGTTTACTGTTTTAATGCTGTGGAAAATCTTGCTCAGTACCTAAATATCTCTCAGAATCAGACTATGATCACTCTGGATTCTTCTTTCTCTCAAGTTAGGACAATAATTGCAATCTGGCTTTCAGGAATGTCTGACCAACTAAATAGCTGATTTCTGTGAAGTAATCTTAGAATTCCCGATGGCTGGTGGGAAAAATAGTCAGAAACGCTTAAGGAAAAACAATCGCTTGGCATCTTTTTGCAACATCTTACAGCAAAGGGATGTCTTATTAAAACTCATAACTGACTTCCCAATCCACTGGAAGCATCATAAACAAGTCAGTATCTTAAACCAAAGGTACCATGGAAGCATGTTTCCAAGGAGGCCATCACTTTTTTGTCTTATTTGATAGAATTTCTGTATCACTGCTAAAAGTACACAGCTTGTTTGGGCAATTAAACTCTTGGTGCAACTATGACTTGAAATGTAAGCTAAAAAGGAAAACTCTCAATTATTGGTCAGGTAAAACAATGTTCTTTTATATATGATGCTATTCATCCATGCAATTACAGATTATCTGTAGGCAGTGGTAGAATTAAAGAAAGCACTATAATAATGCAGAGTGAAGAAAATAATACATATTTTAATTAAGGTGAAGTATATGGTTGCCCTTGTGGACAATTTTTGATGGGCTACTCCACAGCAAAAATAGACTCCTTTAGTTTCATATTTTTTAATCATTTCTATATGATATTCAAGCACAAAAAAAAAATGCCTCGATGTCACGGAAGTACTTCTTTTTTAGCTTGACTAGCCTGCTTTTCCTGGGGAAGGATGAATGCCTGTACTTCAGTTTTCACCTTTTTCATTTAAGCAACTTGCTACCTTTCTTTTCCCTCCGTTCACTGTTTGGTGGTTTCCTGTCAGTACCAGGAAACTCCCTGAGATTTACAGTACGTATGTGAGAAAGAGAACAACAAGAAACTGTAGGTAGAGGTTTAAAAATAAACGTAAGTGAATTACCATCTGAGTGATCCTTAACAAGTCACAGTTTTAAGAAGCCTTGCAAACCTAACTCCCACTTGCAGGCACTCTATGCTGAGCAGTTAAGGAGCTACATGCTTCAATTATTAGATCTGAAATGTGAGATCTGCGGAAATGATCTAGACGTCGAGAGGTGAAGCCTGAGCTACCAGAAGGCATTTCACACTTGTCATTGGGCCAGAAATTATCCATCAGCATGGCATGGCACAAAGAAGCAGGCATCTTGGCCCAACATTATGCAAGACCTCACATAGACCTACGGCTGCTTTTCCTCCCAGGCTTGCTAATTAACTCCATAGGATTTCATCACTGCCTATTACTTAGAATGACTGAGTCTTATCCGGTCAGGAAGCAAAGTGGCAGACACGTCTGCCCAAAGAGTGTCTGCCAGTCAATTGATTTTATTTTCTATCAGGCGGATGGTGTTAATTTCCAGAAGGCCTTGATAATCAATACCCAAGGGATGTAGCAGTAGTGGTTGCCAGTTTATGAACAGATGTTGGAGACTCAGACGGAAACTGTCCACTCTTAAAAAATTTTCTGCATGCTTTTTAATGCTGCCAGTGCAATTCCTTATTTTTTATGGTTTGTTTTTTTTTTTTCTGCTTTTTTAGGTCATCAAAGATCCCCCTCCACCTCCACCACCTCCAAAAGAGGTACAGTATAATACTGCGCCATACACCATGCTGGGTGATGATACTATTCCTCTCTGCTCATTTGTGTTCTGCAAATCTGGCTCCTTCTGTATTCTTTTGTAAATACCTGCTGAACAAGAAAGAACTGCCCTGTGAGAAGCCTTAGGCTGAGAGTGGCCAAAGTCCACTTTTCTACTCTTTCTCAGTCATCAGTAGTATGAATTAAGTCATTCAAGGTCACAGGGTCACAGAATCACAGAATCACCCGGGTTGGAAGGGACCTCAAGGATCATGTAGTTCCAACCCCCCTGCCTAGCAGGGCCACCAAACATACACGTTCAGATCAGGTTGCCCAGGACCCCATCCAACCTGGCCTTGAACACGTCCAAGGACGGGGCATCCACAGCCTCCCTGGGCAGCCCGTTTCAGGGCCTAACCGCTCTCCTTGTGAAGAACTTCCCCCTAACATCCAACCTAAATCTTTCCTCCTTCAACTTGGATCCATTTCCCCTAGTCCTGCTGTTGTCAGCCCTTATGAAGAGTTTACTCCCCTCCTGGGTGTAGGTTCCCTTCAGGTATTGATAGGCTGCAATGAGGTCACCCCGCAGCCTTCTCTTCTCCAGGCTGAACAAGCCCAACTCCCTCAGCCTGTCCTCATAGGGGAGGTGCTCCAGCCCCCTGATCATCTTAGTCGCCCTCCTCTGGACCCTTTCCAAAATCTCAGTGTCTTTCTTGTACTGAGGGCTCCACACCTGGACACAGTACTCCAGATGGGGCCTCACAAGAGCCGAGTAGAGAGGGACAATCACCTCCCTCTCCCTGCTGACCACCCCTCACATATCATATGTCATATCCATGTAACTGTTCAGTAGCTCTTCCTCAAGACAATTTAACATTTTCTCATTCCTCATTGAAAGCAGGAGGACCGAGTTGTCCTTACCTGACAATCCAAAGATTCATCATAGGACTTAAAACTGTGTGTTCCCACAGCTTTGGCATTTGAGACAGTGAGAGACCTTTATAAGGGAACTTATTTTCCTCTTATCAGCAGTAACATAGTAGAGGCTTTTTTGATGTCTTCAGTATTTTTGCCTCTTGGTGTTGACTTAGCTAATTGCTTGAGCATATTCAAGTGTGTTCTGACAGCAAAGGCCATGATAAGGTACCTCACTGAACAGAGGCAGCCAAGAGCAAGTTTGACATTGGTTGGCTTAGAAAACTGTGATTGGCTGTGTAACCTTTACTGCAGATCCACTGAATGCTGTCAGCTGAATCCCAGTGAGTGGGGCTGATAATCTGGCTCTTTGCAAGCATTACATTTTCAGTAGAGGAAGCTACCACTGATCCTTTTCTTTTTTGTTTGTGTGTTTTGCTTGTTTTTATTAATGCAAACAAAAAAAAGACAGGGCAAATGTATACTGATCTGTAGAATAAGCAGTTGGATTCCCCATTTGGGCTTTCCTAATGGATGCCACCAATACTTTTCTCACACAAACTCCTAAAAGAGTATTTCCAAACATGACCAGATTTTGCCTGGAAATGAGTGAACATTTGAGGAAACTAAAAATCTGGTTCTTCACATCTAAGATAGGAAAACATTTTCTTGTGTACTCTAATAAAAGATACTAGAAAGATACCTACTAAATAAATAAGTAAATAAATAAATATCTTTTAAAAGCAAGTGTGTTTCAATTTATTGACAGGAAGAGGAACAAGAACCCTTACCTACCAAGAAATGGCCCACAGTGGATGCTTCCTACTATGGTGGACGAGGAGTTGGAGGAATCAAAAGGATGGAGGTTTGTACAATATAAGGGTGATAATTCACTGAAATACAAGGTCTCTGAGGCTGCAAGTGGTGGAAAAAAAAGACTTTGAAAATGTACTGGAAATACAATGGTATAATGTTTGCTTCTTTCCCAATGACATAAGCCTTATGACATTTTTACCCTATCAAATAATTTTGACCCTGCTTATGAAAGAACAGCTTTCTGTAGTTCCATTTGACTGGAACTTTAAATAGCTGCTTGAAGACATGCTCTTTCCATCAAGCTAATGAGAAGGAGAGAGTGAGAGCCTTTTCTGAATGTTTTGGAAGAAATTACAGTGAAACATAAGTCCTCCAACTGTGGGCCAGCCAAATGCGTTGACAATGGTGATGCTAAGGAGAGGCTTGATCCCAAAGGAACTCACAGCGACAACAGTGCCTGTCTTTGAAGAGACACGATAGCATCATGTTAATTAAAACAGAATGAAAATGTGCACGTCCTTATGTCAGATTTTACAGTCAAGTCAGCCTTTATGGAATTTGCAAAGCAGTTTTCTGTCTTTAAGTTTAATCTAGGAAACTGTCTCTGAAATTCCCACCTAGGCCATATAGTTATGTCTTGATCAAACTATAAGTGTATCAGCCTAAGAAATGGTTTTGCCTGAGCCCTTTTGAAATGCAGCAGAAGAATGTGCAAGTTTAAAGTTCTATTGTTTATACGTGTTTCCTTTAGCAATTCAGAACTGCTAATTTAGAAGAGCCTCAGCTTTCAGAAACAAACCATTTTGTGTAGTGCTTTCCAACATAAAGAATAACAAGTCTGGATTTTTTCAAAGGAGCCATAATGAACCTCCAGGAAGAGGTTTCAGGGTTTGTAACATTACAGTTTGTACAGAGGATCTTGTCAAGTGAAACAGAAATCTGATATATATTCAGATGAACAGAAATAATATCTCTAGCATTAAGAAATACATTCTTATCACATGGCAAATATATGGTGTTTTCTTTTCAAAAGAAAGGAGGATAAAGTAATAATTAAGTTAAAAACATTTTTATCTGTAGTAGGAATAAAGATGTATAGTTGTAAGTCAAATTAAACTGCACAGACTCGTGAGAGGCCCCTTATTCTATGAAGCCGTGTCTCTGTTCTTCTCTGGAAGCTGGAGGTACTCAGCTGGTCACCTCACCTTAAATGTCACAGCACTTAAATACGAGGCTCTTCCTCTGTTCCATGGAACCTATAGTAATGGGGCTGAGGGAATGCTGGCTTAACTGCCTGTTTCCAGCTGTTTGCACCTTGCACTTATCACTGTCTTAGAGCATGATGAAAGTAAACAGATCTAAGAGAGGTTATTCCTTACCTGACAATGAGAGGGCAGTGGATTCTGTGGCCAATGAAAAATTGAATGGTCTAGTCATTTCATTTTCTTCAGCGTTTTTAGTTCAGATGGCAATTCAGTTACGTGGGTTTTTTTTCTTGCTTCTCTGCATTCTGTTCTTTTGCCATTCTCCTGACAGCTTGACTTTTGGGCTGTTTCCTTAGACAGAGAAAAGTAGAGAACAAACTGTTACATTTCCACTCAGCAGTCCTTCCCTACTTCCCTATGCTTACTCTTCTCTTTCAGGGCATTCCTTTCTTCCCCACTACTTTTGCTCCTCTGTGATAGACCATGATAACATAGCCAGGATGTTCACTCCTCCTAGATTTGTCTTCTGACATTGCTTCAAAGTTTTAAGATATCATTTCTGGATCTTACTCATTACAGACAATTGGTTTTAATGTCAAAGTTGTGTTGTCAGAATCTACAAATTTTGGTTTATTCTGGTGAAGCCATTTAAATCTGAAGGAGAAGGTCATTCCATCAGTAAGGAATCTACCATGTATCTCTAAATGGCTTTAACAGTGTTTAAAATACATTTTAACAACTTCATAAAAAACATTGTAAAAGTACCATTGATCACAGTGAAAGATACAGATGCATTTTAAAGACTCAGCAGGGTCTACTTGGACATGAAAGCCAATTCTAATATTGTAGAGACAAGACTCCCCTGTGAAAAGTAGATATCACTAAGCAAGCCAAGTGGCAAAGTCCAAAATAACAGTAAGGTTCAAAACAATAACCCTTCTAGGAAATTATGGGTTGTTTTTTTTTTTTTTTAACACAGGTGACATATAGCATTACAGACCAAATCAAGCTCTGTTGTACTTTGCTGCTCTCATTCTCTCTACTGAGATTACATTGTTAACAGACTCTTTGTGATGGTGATAAAATTTTCTTCCAGGTTATTTTGTATGTTTGAAAGAGGGCAGACTATGACTTGCCTGTATATTTCCCTCACTTTCCTTATCAGCATGTTTTGCATATGGAACTTAGGATGACAAAGAAAGCAGGTTGCTGCCAACCCTCATCCCATTGCATAGTGATCTCAGTACAGTATGGTGTCCCTAGCAAGACCTGAAGCAGCCTTCTTCCTTTTTCCTGGCAGCAGAAAGAAAACTCGGCTTATTTCTTTTTACAAAACAATCTTGTGCCCTTTTGCAGTGGGAGATTTGTTGCATCCCACTATTTTTTCTGCCCTTTTTTAAAGTGTTTGAATTGATAAGCAGCAAGATAGAAATGGGATATACCTACCAAGCAGTTGCAGTGATGCTCTTAATTCTTTCCCTGAGGGAAAGGGTGAGTATCTTCAATTATTCTTATTTTGATTCATCTCTTTTCATGCCTGGCATATCTAGTTAGGAGATCCCTGGGGGAAAAAAAAAAGAAAAAAAAAGTGTGTAGGTGGAGTTTTGTAAGAATAGTTTGCTTTTTTCAGTCAGCGATTTCATGACTCACCAGCATAAACATCACGTTTATGCAAGATCTACTGTCAGAACTTAATTTGCTGTCTTTTGGTTTATCACATCCTCCTTATACTCTAGCTTGAAAGAGGAGGCAGGGTATTCAGAGTCTTGCACTGAACATAATTGGGGCCACTTTTACCAAGAACTTTTAAGCTCCAACCATAGCTTTTATACGCTCTTTCAAGATGAGAAGTTAAGAGTCTTCCCTAGGCTTGTTTGCTTGTAGGATACAGCAAAAATAATTGCTGCACCATGTTTCCAATTATAGTAAGAAATAAGATTACCATAGCAAAAATCATCTCTCTTGGAGGAAAGATGTTTTTCTGTACTTTCTCTATATAGCCTGGTAATTAGAACCTTCTAGAGAAGTGGAAATAGGCATTTGTCTCATCAGCAGCAATACTCCAGGTTTCCATCCCCTTCCAACAAACATCCCCTTCCATGTATGTTTAGTGCTCTTAATGCAGTGATATAGATACTTACAGTTAGTTACATGTTTCACATTTACTTATGCAGGTGACTGCTTCATCTATATTTTCTCCAGTATGGAGAGCTACTTAAAAGTCTCTAAATAGCACCACTGAGTTTCTGTTCAGTAGTGCTGAAGTAACACCTTCCATCTAAACTGGGATTCTCAGGAAGCACACTGTGTTAGTAAATCTGGGGTGGCTGAAATCGAGGCTTTCATCAGTGTCAGGTAGAGGTGTAGGATAAATCAGATTTCCTGTCTGCTTTGCAGTCTGTGAGGTGTATGATAAGATTTTCTTTCCGTATTTCTCTTAATTATTTGCCTTTGTGAGATGGAGAAAAAAAAAAAAATCACACATATGCATTTAAGATGCTTGTTATCAAAAAGGAGGAGTGAACATTTTCTGTTCTCCTGTTAATTCAGAGTTTCTTCCAAATTTAAACTTTTTCAGCCATAGTTCCCTGGTCATTTGTCTGCATTGTATTTACATCTAAACTCTGGCTTTTTTTAGGTTCGCTGGGGGGACAAAGGATCCACTGAAGAAGGGGCTCGATTAGAAAAAGCAAAAAATGCTGTAGTGAAACTCCCAGAAGAACCAGAAGAACCTTTTCATCCAAAACCACCTAAACCAAAGCCTACCTCACCAGTCATTCAGGAGAAGTGGTATACACCAATTAAGGTAAGCTTTTTAGTCTTCAGTACAGTGTAGTTTTGTACTAAAGGTAGGACTTTGTGTGCCTTACTCATCTTACACAAGCTGAACTGAATATACTGAAATAAATGAGATTTTGTTGGTTTTATCATACTCAGAGTCCTGTTGCTCTGTTGCCACAGGGTCGACTTGATGCACTGTGGGCACTGTTACGAAGACAGTATGACAGAGTCTCTTTGATGCGACCACAACAAGGAGATGAGGTTTGTGCAGCACGAGTGTATCAATTGTGGTGGGCAAAAAAGGGGCATGTTACAGCCAGGGTATATCAGCTGCTGAACACTGGTAATTCCATGGCCTTAATGAAAGAAAGCAGTGCAATAGAAAGAATGGCACAACAGAAAAAAATAATGCATTGGTAAAAAAACGTACATTGAAAGATATGCATTCCCGTGTGTGACACATTTGAAGAGCTGTAGGAGCAAACTATTTCCTCTAAGTGAGATGGAAACTTCTTCTCAACACACTACCCCACCAACAGATGGGCATGGCAGATCAGATTCTCAGTTACCTTAAAGCAACAGTGTGTGAGAGCTGCTATTTTTGCAACATATCCCATGAAGACAACATAAGAATTAGAGATGTTAAAGAGAAGGAGCTACTTCTGATGGAAAGAGAGGTAATCACTCTTTAGGTTATCTGCCTGATAATAGGGCTGGTGGTTGGTGCTGTTCTCACATAAGAAAAAGTTTTATCTAGGGATTTATCTAGGACAAGGGCATGCATTTGGAAGTTGCAGAATGACAACTCGCAGAACTGGAGATAGGAAGTTGTACAATGAATGAATGTACAGGTGTTATAGTTACGAGGCATACTAGAGAGCTTGGCTACATAGTTATTACTCCAAAACAGAAAAGATAGGATGCTTACCCATATCAGGGCTCACTCACACAACTCCAGCCAAATGGATCTCCAGAAGAGATCCTTCCCCCCCGGCAGTCAGCTTTTAAAGGGGTCTAGGAGAGGTGCAGCCAGGCTCCACCCCTTCTAGCAGCACAGCTGGATTGCCTTCACCTGTGCTCCTGTTGCTGACTCATTGCTCGCCTCAGGTGATCAATCAGAGGTTCAGGCTGTGATTCAGCAGTTCCCATACAGAAGCATACTCTTTGTATGACTATCAGATACTGATGTTAGCGTTCTGGTTGTTATGTTTGCATGTTGTTTACTGCTTGAATGGGTTATTCATGTCATACGGAATAATGAACAGTAGTAATTTTTCATGCAAAATATACAGTACTTTATAGTACTTTAACAAGTAAATAGTACTTTAACAAGTAAATTCAATGTAAATAGAAACACTGATGCCTGATCTGGCTTTACCTGAACAGGCTACAATTGTCAGTCAGGCTCTGTTCTGAGGATTTCTGGCCATGAGAATGGCAATTACTGGAAATTCTGTGGTTCTGTGAAAATTGGATTACCAGGGAAGTCATTTTTGGCCCAGTAAGAAATCAGGCATCCGTCCTCTCTGGATTTGACAGAATGACATTGACCAACATCTTGGCTTATAAAAAACAGAGAGGTATCTCACTAACCTTCAGTATCTTTATTGAAAAGAGGAATAGAATTTCTACGAATGAATTGAGATCAAAATAATGATCATTAAGGTGTGACTTGTAGTACTGTAGGAATGCTATTTGTGCCTGTCTCAGTATTTTATATCTTGGAAGAAAAAAAAATACACCTCCCTAGTTCATGATTTGCTGGCTGCACATCCTATGCTGTTCCCCTGGTGAGTTGAAGTCAGTATGATAAGCAGACACGTATGTAGAGTGAAATACACATGTGCATGCACCTAACTGGGAGACACTGTTATGGCAAACAGCAGCAAAGCAGCTCTTTTATTTTCTTCCTTTTACTGCCTAGGAATTTGGTAGTTCCCACTTGCAGAAGAATTCACTGCTGAATTCAGTTCCTTGATCAAGTAATTGAAATTTAAGCGTGAAGTATCAAAGCAAATCTTCCTCCTCCCCCGTCTCCCACTCTTCCATGTTGCCAGCTAATGCTGAGATGGCCTGGTCAGAGGCTGCATGCAGCTGAGTGAAGGAGCTTTGATTACAGACGGCAGTCCTTGGAGCCATGCATTTTTCAGCCAGCAATGGTGAGGCTGGGGACGCCGGTACAGGTGTGAGCTAGCAGGTTGTTGATGACATCTGCACAGGTCCTCGGCAGCCTGCAGCGAGGCGGCTGGATTGTCAGCAGATGTAGTTGAGAGTGGCAGAACAGTTTTGGTCTCCCATTTGCCGCCTGGGGGCTGAAACACTAAAGGTAGATTGGGGGTGGACACAGCTGCGCTCCCAAACATGCCTCGGGCACAAATAAAGAGATCTAATATAGTTTGACTCTGTTGTGGTGGGGAGATGAGGATGGAGAGCCACTTCAGAGACAACTTAGCGCTGCAACATCTGCCGCCGAGTTCCCCGGGAGTGACAGGGGACAGCAGGTACAGATCGAAGTCCCCACACAAACAGCCTCCATTAAGCCATGGATCTTTTGAAGGGCTCCCATCAAACATAGTGGAGTCTGCGGCAGGAGATTATTTTGTTTTCAAAGCAATGTTTTGTTTTCTTTGCTAACAAGATAATTTATAAATGATTCATTACCCCATGTTCCTACTCGTATTTATGCTTTCTTTTCTTTATGTAAGGGGTAAAAAATAAGGAATCACTGTAGTTTTAGGGTAGTTTGTTAAACCACTTAACTGACCAAGGGTTTTAGGCAACCTTCAGCCCATAATGTTATTTTCAGTGTTATTTTGAATGCATGCATGAGGAGCATCTGCCATTGTTTCCATACTGGAACACCTCTGACATAGAGTTTACATGAGAAAGAAACTTGGCAGTGGTTTGCATTGTGATCATTAGGGGCCTATTCTCTTACAAAAATTCTTCAGTTTATTTTCTGATTTAGCACCTAGAGGTTGTCATTAATGTTCCTCAAATACTTAGTATAACCTTACTGCTTGCTATAATTTGCACAAAATTCTTTTAAGTCTACAAATGGCCCATGGCAGTCATAGTTAAGATTTTGCACAGTAAGAATGCGAACATATGTGGCTGGGAAAAGGAAAAAAAATCCATAGTTCATTCAACAATAGGTTTCTATAGTAGAACTACAGGGCATTTCTAGTTTTTTTGATGTTACAAAAAAGCATAAGAAAACCACACTCATATATATAATTTTAAACCTGTTAGCTTTTACATGCTTCAAAGATGAATTTGTAGTAATGGCTGCAAAATTCATAGGAACATCTGTTTAATGTAACGTTACTTTGTGTGTGTCGCTATGTTATGCAACAGAATTTTGTGTTGTAATTCTGTTAGCATCACAACTTCACAGTTCAAAAGACTTTGACATTATGATATTCTCTGAGATGAGGCCCATGTTGCTATTCCCTTTGTGTTTGTTCAGTAGTTTCTACACTGGGCACAGGCAGAAAACATTAAATCATTCGTTCAGACTGTCAGTTAGAGAATATAAAAGGAACTGTTAGAAGGCTGAGGCTGGGAGTCCCTTCACTGAGAGTGAGCTCTCAGTGTTTTGAATCAAAGACCAACTGCAGTGCCTAGGACAACCCCAAGTTTCAGTTCTACACCATGCTTTAACAGGTACCAATGAAAAGTTCAACTGCTTGCACCTAGCAGCAATTTGCATTACCGTGGGATACTTTTCACTTGAGCTCTTAATTCACTGATAATATGGAATGATGTAGAAGCAATGAT